TTGTGAAAATCTGAGCAGTGGCTAGATTTTAGGAATCTGAACATCTTAATGGAGACAAAGTGGACCTTATATACAGAAAGACTGTGGGAGGGACCTAGGAGTGGCCAGTAAGCTCGGGTGAACAGAACTCCTGGAACCTGGACCTCCTAGTCAAGGGAGAATGGAGCCTAGCTAGGATTAAGGGTGGGAAATGGCAGGGGGTCATACATAGGGAGGTAAAACAAAGAAATGCCTGGCTAGGTTAACAGAATTGGGAGACTGGGTGTAGCCACAATGAAAGGCCAGTTGATGGGATTATAGCCTCAGGCTAACACCAGAGATTTGGCCCTGTGGGAAAGTCCAGGGTTCTTCCTTTCTGGGGCCCAGATCCCAACCCCATCAAAAAGGGCTTAGCAAGTCCCTCACACCAGAGGTGCTAGCTCTCCTTGAACATCCTATACAACTCAGAGGGAAAGATAATGTTGAGTTTAAGATGTCTACTGATGTCTGAAAGGAAGTTGGAGATGAGGGAGACTGGGGGTCACAGGAGCGGTTGGGACAGGATAGGTAGATCTGAGAATTAATTGTCATAGAGATGCTGATTAAATCCAAAAGAGCTAAAGAGATCACCAAGTGACTTAATATGTAAGGTGGAATGGTTAGAGGGTGTGGTCTAGATAAGGATCCAGCCAAGGATCCTTATTAAGACTGGGTGGCCAAGGAACAAAAATGTGTGGGGAATTTACAGGGATAGTGAATTGATCATTAAAACAGTCAAACAATGTAACTTTCCAAGAATAATGGTATTAGAGAAATGCTAATTTGATCAAGATTCCCAAATCGTGAAATGTTTTAAGAGATCTCATCAGAAAAGGGCAACCAGGCACTTAGATAGTGAAGAGAACTAAGGAATGTTTAAAGGCAAACTTTAGTTCCTACAGGAAGATCTCTCCTTCACTGGTACCTTTTAGAGGATTTAAACGAAGCAGGGGACTAGATACACATTGGATACAACTCTGTGCATTGGTTTGATCTGTACCACTTGAAGGAGCAACCAGAAAGATAACAGCCCAATCCATTTTAGGAAGCCTGGCAGCAAGTCTTACTTTTGCTTGTTCACTTTTGTATCCTTGAATACACAGTTATAATGTACACAGTTGCATTTTAATAAATATTTGTTGGATGAATGTAAATTTTTTCCCAGGGTGCACATCGAAGAGCTCCTCCTAGATCCTTTTTTAAAGAGGGGGAACTCAGGAAGATACCTCGTCATTTCCTACCTGAGAGTCAGCAAACATTTATTAAGTGCCTACTACGTGTCAGGCACCTTGTTAAATTCTGGAGATACAAAGAAAGCCAAGGCAGGCTCTGCCCTGGAGGAGCTCAAGGAGGAAAACAACACAAAAAAAGAAGCTGAAAAGGGGGTAGGGGTGGGTAGGACGAGTGAGTACCCAGCTCTTAGGCATGTGCATGATGAAGTTCTGCATGGGGGAGGGGGGATATGATCTAAGGATTGTGAGTTACAAAGTTGAATTTATCTTTGTAGAATGATCAGTTTCTGGAAACATACTAGAGATCACTAAGGGATGAGGTGAATTCCCTGGCTGCTCTCCTTAAATGGTGGGTGATCTGGGAGGGTCTTCAATGTCCCACCTCCATCCTCTCCAATCAGAGGGAGGGAGAGCTTCAGGGGCAGGGGTATTGAGGAGGTGTGAGTTACAGAGTTGAACTCCTCTTGCAAAATGAGCCAGGTGAGAAATGATGAAGTGTCTGCGAGGCTCCCCCTACCCCCACTTAAATACAGGAGCTGAGAGGCGCTTTCAAACGTCTGACTTTCACTCCTTCCAATCAAAGGGAGGGAGAGGCCTAAGGGGCAGGGATACAGAGGCGGTGTGAATTACCCAGTTGGGAATTAGCAGTCTGTGGAGACAATGATGAAGTCCAGTGGAGCCGCCTGGTGGGAAAGGGAGGAAGGGGTAAGAAGCTGAGAGTACTGAGGAGGTTTGAGATGCAAAGCTGATGCTGTCCTGGCCTTCACCATTCCTCTCCTCTGACACCTTCCCTCTCCTGCCTCCTCCCGTACTCGCTTTCTAGGTGGTTTTTACATGTCTTCCTCCTTTAGACTGTAAGTATCTTGAAGGCACTATCTTATACCTTTCTTTGCATCCGTAGCGCTAACCACAGTGCCTGGCACGTGGTAGACGCTTTATAAATGTTTACGGATTAACTGACGTCTATTCTTTCGCTCCTTCTCCTTTCATTAAATTTCCGGAAGACCAAAATGCAGAGACACAAACTTAGCGCATGCGCAGGAGTCACGAAGTAGAGGGAAAGGGACAGATTTCCTCGAGGGAAAAAGACTGAGTTCGGCGACCGAATGCGCATGCGCCTCAGGTTGCCCGGCGGAGAGGGTCGGGAGGCAGGGGAGAGCGCGAGCTCAGAGAAGGGAAGGCGCATGAGCGGACCAACTGCAAGTCGGTTTGTCTAGAGACCCCGGGGGGGAGGGGTAGGAGTTGCCGCCATTTTGTTGTAGGCTTGCTTCGAGTTGGAGCTTTTTTTTTTATAGTCCCCCTCCCCCCCTTAAAAAATTTTGTTTTTCGTCTGGAAGCGGTTGTGGTGCCGAAGGAGACCTCCCAGGCTCGGCTGGGGGCTTGAGACTCGGGAGCCGCGGTGTGTGTTTATAACCGGGTTGTGGAAGAACTACGCTGCAGGCTCCAGGAATGGTGGGAGGGGTCCGGGCAAGTGGGGGGACTAGGGGGACGGGGGGGGGAAGAAGCGGGCCAAGGCCGAGGCCCGGGCCGAGGCAGGGCCCGCCCGCGCCGGAGGAGGAGGAAGCGGCGGAAACGGCGGCGGCCGCGCAGGGAAGTAACCGCCGCCACTGCTGTGGGCAGCGCCCCCGACACGAGCGCTGTGGTGTAGCTCCCGCGGCGGTTGCCGATCGCGGGCAGCCGCTGCCCGTTTCCCTCTCCCTCCCCCCGCCCCTCTCCGTGTTAACCCCCTCCCCTGTGTTCTGGGGCCGTGGCTCCGGCCCTCCGGCGTGGTGACGGTCGGGGAGGCCCAGGCCGGCCTGGATTTCGGGGGGGGGAGGAGGCGGCGGGCGCCGCGCGCCTCCCCTCGGCTCCCCGGAGTTAGGTAGGATGGAGGTAGCGGGCGACCTTGGCCGAGCCTCTGGGTAGGGGTGCTTGCCTCCCCGGGGGGAGAGAGTGACTGAGTGCCCTCGGCCCCGGCCGCGGAGACGGACGGAGGCGCCTGCGAGGTCAGGCTTGATTGACCCTGGGGGCTGGCCCCGGGCCTGGGGGACGGCATCGGATCCCATCCGGCGACCTTGGCCTGGCGGGAACGAAGGAGCCTCTTGACTCTCTTGGGAATGTGGACGGACTCTAACGGCATTTGGCTCTAGAACCCGTGGTAATGGAGGCCCCTGGAGGATCCCCCCTTTGAGCAGGATGGAGGATGTTGAGGGGAATCCTGTGCACCCCATGGAATCCATCGTCTCCATTATTTTCTTGTGTCTATCGGAGACTAAGGCTCTGGGCAGTCAGTGGTTTTGGCGCTCAATTGAGGGAATCGTTCCCAAAGACACCCAGATAGGCAGTTCACCGATCCTAGAAACTAATTGAGAATGGCAAAGGAAGAGAGAGACCCGTAACGTTGTTGGGAGTTTCTGAAGAGTTGTGGGATCAATCACGTTTGATCCAAGAGCCCGAGAGGAAAATCGCGGTTTTAGTCGTCATGTCTGGAAGTCAACTTACGGTGTTCTAGTTAAAGGAATGTAGATAGAGCGCAACTGATGCCAGAATTGAAGGGCTGTTTTTGCGTGTGTTGTGTTTTTTGGCTCAAATTAGAGGAAGATTTTGTTAATTTTGTAGGAAGAACTGGTGACAACATTTATGCATTTAGTGGTTGTGTAATCTCGATATCTTTGTTGCAGATGAGTATATTTTTAAGTGAACTTTTTTGTAACCAGCCTCCCCCTTCAAGTTTTCATTTAGCTCTGAAGGTTTTTGTTGTAGTTGACCAGTCTGTGTGTAACTCTACAAAAGTAGGCAAACTTAAATTTCTCTACTTGTTTTTCAGAGTACAGTTGAATGTGTCTTGTTTTACTGTCATTTTGTCTGATCTTTTTTTTTTTTGTACGAGGGTAGACAAAAACACGGAAATTTAATTTAAAGATGCAACTTGTGGATTGACAAACTTTTGAAAGTTTGTCTTTGGGTGTGCTTGGTTAGTCTGCCAAGCAGATTTCCCTGTAGAGTGAAAAACTTGCCCTTTCCCCACTATCTCAAGACCAAAATGTTTTCATAAAACAAATTGGAATGTTTGGTGTAGCTATGGTGCTTTGCTAGAATACCATCTTGGCCACCACCTTTAAACAAAAAAATCTCTGGTATAGTTCTGAAGTGGAATCATTAAGTGTTCACTGAACTACTTCGTTAAAATGACTTAGTGTTTTTAATATCAGTGTCATTAGAGGTAGTTTTAAACCTGACACTTTTGCCCCTAGTACTATCTATACCCTTCAAAAAGCTTCACCTTTTAATTTTCTTTAATATCTCCAGGGAATATAAATTGCTGCAAGAAACTAATTGATTTTACTGTATAATAGGCACATTTTTACCTTATTTGACCATGTGTTCTATAGTTTATACTGTTTTCATCTGTTTTAATCATATAAAAAAAATTTTCTGGACATTGTGCAGAGTAGGGAATTCTGTAGTTATGCATAGACCCAGTGCCAGAGAAGCTTGCTTATAGTGTTTATAGCTACTTTCAGAGTGTTCTAGATACTACTTTATAAAAAGAAAAGATTAGGAGTATTCCTGGCAGTTTTTTCTTGGTGGCTAGTGTAGTTACAGTAGACTTCATTAATTTGAAATTAATCCTAATTCAAGACAAAGTCTGAGTTAAAGATTTGTTATGAAAATATTAAGGGTTGAGGTGTGTTTAATCTCAAGTCAAACAATTTCAAGCTTCAGTTTTTTAAAATATAAAGTTAATTACAGAAGCAGCCTGTTTGTTTATTAAATAAAGCTTGGTAAAACATTTAATTGGATATAACTTTTAGTTCTACTTGAATTGCAAAGTAGTAAAACCACTTTTCTGAAAATATTCCGTAATTTGAACCTTTGACTAATTCAGACTGCCCTTCTTTTAAGCCCCCTTCATTGAGAGTAAGTTTGGTGTAGTATAAAGTGCACTGGTTTTGGAATAGAAGGCCTGATTTAAAATCTGGCCCTGGCACTTATTTGTTTGACCATGGGAAAGTCACTTCAAACTGTTCGAGTCTCACTTTTCTGTAACATTCCATCCCTGACTATGATGGGGATAAAAGTACTTGTTCAACCTGTCTTACAGAATTATTGTGAGGAATATTCTATGTAAAGTTGAAGTGATATGTAAATGTAAAATATTCCAAATTAATGTGATGTTACTGTATTTCACTTGATTTTTTTCTATAGTTTATTTAGAACTTTTTGTAAGCAAGTGCAATTTGGTTGTTTTGAAATGAATTAAGATCATATTGTATAGATGCTTGCTGCTTTGTCTGACTGATTTGGTGGGTAACTGGTATGTAGTGGTTTAAAATTAGCTAATTAGTTTTTCTTTGTAACAGTAATTATCTGTGGGAGTTCTAGTCCATATTATGTTCCTGTTCAGTAAAAGCTCATTTGATTTTAGTGATGGTGTAGGAATTGTTTCAAGGTTTTAATGAAGACTAGTTTGTTTTTTTGGGTTTTTTTTAGGAGATGGGTGTATGAAAACTTGGTTCTGTCTGAAAGTTGGGCATAGTGTATCCAGTGTGTACAAGTGTCACAGGTGGTGACACTTGGTCGGATTGGATTTGTGGTTTACAGATGACAAAAGGATTTCAGGCATTGTCTTTTATGGTTTCCTTTCCTTAGTACTTTGAATGGTTGAGTTGTTGCTTTATTTTGCTTCGTTTCAAAAAGGAGGAAGGAAGAGGAGTTGAACATTAGTATAATCATATCTTGAGCTGGATTTTTGTTCCTTTCATGGATGGAAGTAATGGAGGGTTTTCCTCCTAATAGTCTTGGAGCTCTTGAGTTTCAGCTATTCGTTGTGGAACAGTTGATGAGCAATTAATTTCAACCAAGTTTTCACCATTTGCTCACCTCAATTCTCATTTTATATTTTCTTTTCTACTTCTAAAATGGAATCAATCAGATTACTTTAAAAAAACATTTAAGCAAAGACACAGTATGTGGCTTTTTGCTGAAGGAGACCTGATTTGCCCTTGGAACAAAGAAGAATATTTCATAAAAATGTGCCCATAATGGTGGTTCCTTGCAGTGCTTCACTGTTGTGTTATAGCCACTGAAATGGACATTCTACAGTAATCTGGCATTGTTTAAGACAAAATACAGATGGAGCAGGCATTAATTATGTTTCATTTTCTTTCCACAGTTAAGTTGGTTTTACAGAATTATCAGGTCTTCGAGAAAAAAAAAATAAACAAACAGGTAAGCTGTCTAGAGCGTAATGCTTTTCACTGAGCCTTGTCAAAGATCATGGCTTTTCTCACAGAACTCTACCTGGAAAAATAGAATTGTACACCTGGGTACTCATGGCTTCTGCTCTTTATGTCTGATCTACAGTGCGCCATTGCTAGGTAGTTTTACATTGGTGAGCAGAAATCATCCACTGATAGAACTTGTGTGAGAACAAAATTCATCTTGTTTGGTGAATTATTTTAATTCTAAAGCTTTTATTTTTGTCTTTTAATATTCAATCAGTTAAGACTTCAGTGTAAGAGAGTTTTCTAAGTCAAACTAATAAGAGTTTGGTCTTGGTATGAAGCAGCAATTGGCAGGCTGGAGCCATGCCATGGAAGATTTGATTTTTTCCTTTTTTCTTTTTTCTTTTTTTGGCATTTGGATTGTGCAGGGCAGGTGATATGGGACGTTTCTTTGAGGAAGAAGTTGTTTTTACTTTTTTTTAGTTGGGATAAAGTTCTTCCCATGATTTCTTAAGAATAAGATAGGATCAATGTTTTGTGAACTTGAGTCTCGCTTTCATTCATAAATCTTGAATGAGACAGAAACTAGTAATTAAAGGTTTAGTTTGTGCTAAGATATTATAAAAGTAAGACTTGCTATTATGTGTACCTTTTTGTCTGCAGGTCATTATTGCTGTGGTTTGAGCTCAGCATGGCTGTAGTCATCCGTTTACAGGGGCTTCCTGTTATTGCGGGGCCTGTGGATATTCGTCACTTCTTCTCGGGATTGAATATTCCTGATGGAGGAGTGCATATAATTGGAGGAGAAATTGGGGAGGCTTTTATTGTTTTTGCAACAGATGAAGATGCACGACGTGCCATGAGTCGTTCAGGAGGGTTTATCAAGGACTCCCCTGTAGAGCTTTTTCTTAGCAGCAAGACAGAAATGCAGAATACCATAGAAATGAAACGAAAAAGATTTGATCGTGGAGGAAGAGAACTGATACCAGGCTCCAAAAGACCTGGATCTAGTAGTTCTGGTGCATCAGGGGTTGGCAGCCTATCTAATTTAGTTGAGGCTATTAAGAAAGGAATAAATAAACCTGGCTATGATCCTTCGGATGATCCAGAGGCTGGTTTTCATACCAATGGTACAAGACATGGTATTATGGGGCCAAGAAAAGAAACACGTACATTCAAGTCAGATAACCGTTACTTATTTTTACGTGGTTTGCCATACTCAGCAACTGAAGATGAAGTACGTGCTTTCTTTCCTGGATTATGTGTGGATGGAGTCATTTTACTAAAACATCCGACTGGCAGAAATAATGGTGATTGCTTGGTAAAATTTGCTACATCTCATGATGCTTTAGGAGGGCTTCAACGCCATAGACATTACATGGGCTCAAGATTTGTTGAAGTTAGTCCAGCTTCAGAGCAACAGTGGATTGACTGTGGCGGTAGCGTAGATATAAAGGATGAAGTTCATTTCAGGAGTGAAGAGCGTTCTCCACAAAGAGGAATAAATGATGCACATTTGAAAAAACGATCACGATCAAAATCTCCAAGAAGAATGAAAAGACGCTCTCGTTCCCCTCACAAATACGGATTTTATGTTCACTTAAAAAATCTATCACTAAGTGTTGAGAAGAGAGATATAAAAAATTTCTTTAGAGATACTGATCTGGCCAGTGACCAGATTAAATTTTTGTATAAGGATCAGAAAAGAACAGGATCTGCCTTTGTGATGTTTAAGACATTGAGAGACTATAATTCTGCTCTCGCCTTGCACAAATTTATATTATTTCATCGTCAAGTTCTTATTGATCCTATATCTAAAAAAACAATGCTGAAATTCATTGAATGTTATGAAAAGAAAAGATCAGGGTCAGTGGGGAGAGAACGACCTGGGCATATTCCGGAAAAAAGCTACCGGGAAGGACATTCTGGCCCAAAGCTGTGCATATATATAAGAAATTTTCCATTTGATGTCACTAAAGTTGAGGTGCAAAAGTTCTTTGCTGGGTTTTCTATTGATGAGGATGATGTTTACTTGCTTTATGATGACAAAGGAGTTGGTCTGGGAGAGGCGTTGGTGAAATTTAAATCAGAAGAACAGGCGATGAAAGCTGAAAGTTTAAACCGACGAAGGTTCTTGGGAACAGAGGTATTATTAAGACTTATATCTGAGGAACAGATGCAGGAGTTTGGTGTGAATATTTCATCGATCCCAGGTGAGAAAATGCAAGATCATTCACAGACACGAGATAGAGATGAACATTCCCATTCAGTTGATACACAAGGACCATCTGTGCATTCATTCGGCCCTCCTGGGAAATTCCGGCATCCCCCAGAGGATTTTCGTCAACAACCTGATAATTTCCGGCATCCTCCAGATGATTTCCGACACCCTCCGGACAGACACCCTCCAGATGATTTCCGGCACCCTCCAGACAGACACCCTCCAGATGATTTCCGGCACCCTGCAGACAGACACCCTCCAGATGATTTCAGACAGCAGGATAGTTTTAGACCACCACCTGATGATTTCATGTGCCCACCTGATGATTTCAGAGGTCCTCGTCCTTTCATGAATTTTGGCCCCCCTGAAGGTGAACCTTTTGGCCGGTTTGATTTTGGAAACAATAACATGGGAGGTTTTCCAGAGGGAAGATTTATGTCTGATCCAAATTTTAATTGCGGCTCAGGTAGAGTAACTCCTATTAAAATAATGAATCTTCCATTTAAAGCAAACGTCAATGAAATCTTGGACTTTTTCCATGGTTATGGAGTAATACCAGAATCAGTTTCAATACAGTATAATGAACAAGGATTACCATTAGGGGAGGCCATTGTTGCAATGGTAAACTATGATGAGGCTATGGCTGCTATTAATGACCTGAATGACAGACCAGTTGGCCCACGTAAAGTTAAACTAATTTTGCTCTAGAGGCTACTTATAAATTGAATCACCCCCACTCCCCCCACAGTATTGGTGCAGCAAAATGCATTTGTATAAAAAAAAAAAGTGTTTATTTTTAATTACCAAAAAGCCCCAAACCTTTAATTTTGACAATTTCTGTGAACAGAGCAAGTTGTAAATAGTGGAATGTTTAGATCTTTTTTTCTTAAGTTTTTTTTTGTGTGTGTGTGCAAATTGCCATCTAACTTTTTTAAATTTTCAATTTCATTATGCTTTTATTCTTTGACAGTGGAAGATAGCACTAATCCTTTAAATGATTTATGTAAATTGCATAGCTTAACTTCAAAAATTGAAAAGTAGAGTTGTAATGTATTTGGGAAAAGGGAAATTTTAATTCTTCCTTTTCATAGCCCATAGTATCTTTATACGAATGTTTAAGGAAATGTTACATGATTGTTCAGGGATGACATTTTCAGTGCTTACCTGACTGTACAAATACAATTCCCTAACCACCACCTGGGATAATATTGTATTTAGTTCCATGTTAAATATTTCAAAATGGACAGAATGTAAACTTGAAAATTTCTTCTGTGAAAATCTTACTAGACTTGTTGTTTCATATGTTCACAGGGATTCTTAAAAGTTTCCATGTTCATTACTTTACAGAATTAAAAAAAAAAATAAAGATACAGCTGAATGGACCAACTATTCATTGTTTACTTGTGTTTGTGTGAAGGGGGAAAAGTCCTACCAGCTTGTTTTTTGGGGGGATTTTTAATGAAAATGTTAGAACTGTTTACAAGCAGAATCAGATATTCTTAGTGTATAACACTGTTGTTCCTCACAATAATATCTGACTATAAAATTTGTAAGATACCTTGATTTATTAACTACAGGCATGAATCTAATGTATCAAAGTAATTAGGAACTCTCTGGGTTTCTTTGTGAGGAAAACTGATCCAGAGTGGTCTCAGGGCCACATGATAGTTAATCTAAGTTTGCATAGTTAGTATTTGTCATTTCTAGTTTCCAAACAGATGGCTCTAGTTGTTACTGGTAGGTACCTTAGAGATTGTGGAATAATTTTTTATAGATAAGAAATTAATACTCAGAGAGGTCAAATAGTTTGCATAAAATCATACAACAAGGAAATGGTAGGGTCAGGACTTTATTCAGGCATTCAGAGCCATACTACAGCATATTGCTTCTCAAAGACTCAAATTACTATAGGCACACATTAATAACTAATAAAATTTGATTTTATTTTAAAAAGCATTTTTTACTATTGCATAACTTTGAAAGGATTTCAAGTTTGTGCAACTTTTGAGAATTGGATCAATTTATGCATTTCATTTCAGCAAATATTAAAGTACTTTTTGGGAATTCTACCATAGCAAATACATTATGGTGTGTAATTCAAAAATACATGTATTTTAAAGTTTGCTTTTACATTAGGCCTAGCAGTTTCTAAAATACTAAGGTATCCCTTGGCTTTAGTAAGCAAAGAGAATGTCAAGTAAATTTCTGTTATCAGTATTTGGGCTGGTCACTTATACAAAAAATTTACCAGTAGGTTTCCAGCTTACAAACAGTTGCTTTTCTTTTGTTACACTTATTTTTGATGGTGCCTGCAATGTACTTATACAGCTTATTTCCTTATTTTAATCATTTTAAAGTTTTCCTAAAATGAGTCCCAGTTCTTTAAGTGTGACAGATTGAGTCACTTAACCTTTCTGGGATTCCTCTTTCTTTATCTGGATAATAAAAGGGGGTTTGATTTAGATTATTTCTTAAGATCATTTTCTACTCTGAAGTTCTGTAATTGTAGTTTTTCTGTGGTTTTATATATCAGGATTTCCTCTCCCACTATACTTTATTAAACAAGAAAATAAATTCAGTTTCGCTCTTAGAAATATTCATTGTATTCAAACCCAGCCCACCTGTATCTTGATATAGTTTAAAAAGCCTAATAAATCTACGGAAGTGTACTTTGAAAAAAAAAAAAAGCCTTTTGAAAGTGACATACTGGTACACCAGTGCACTAAGGAGTTATGTCCAATTAACTTGTTTTTTTTCCCCCCAGCATTCTATTGCATATCAGAGGCAATGGCATTAAACCTGTGGGTGAAAATTTAAAGCAGGTAGTGATTGGTAGCCCTCAATTAAATAGGAACTAGGTGTTTTGTTAAATGTGTTTAAAGGTCATGTAGTGATGGCACATTTATCCTTGTTTAATGTGTCTAACAAATAGATCTGTTAGACTGCAGTAATGAAGGCAATGTACTCTCTGAGGTGACTTAGGATTATTAAAGGTATAATTGGTATTTTTTTTTAATCATTTTAAGTTTTATTGGCATTTGGTCTGTATAACACAAGGGCTTTGCAAACTCTTAACTTGGCATCCTTGGGAAAAACTGATTTGAAAAGATACTAATTAGCTTTTAATTTGAGTACTTAGATAATGCCAGGAACCTGAATGTAACCATTATCCTGTTAGAAATGTTGACAGCTGATAAAGACTACTCGTAACTAATTTTCTGAAGTAACCCTTTATCTTGAACCAGAATTAACATAAATTGATTTGGAAAAATGAATTGATCAAATTGTCAACATAGGAATTTTGAGGCACTAGTTTTGAAAATAATGGAAATAATGGAATTGATATAGCCTCAGAAGTGTTAAATAGGAAACTTATTCATAGGGTTCTGAAATACAGAATTCTTCAAGTTTTTTGATGTTTATGATATTTTTTAAAATGGAAGGTCATGTGGGGCAGAGGGAAGTAAGTACTGTTTAGATATGTAGAAAAGAAAGCAAGGTCATTTAGTAGAGTTCTGATAGAAGAGAACCTCTCATATATAACTGGCTAACTCGTATCTTTACTACTACATATCAGATTACTTAAACTTTTGAATATATTTATAGTAGTTAATTTACAGTGGTATATTAAAAATATATGAATGATTATATACTAATTGCAATATTTTAGAAGCAGTACCTTTATTAAAAATTAAATCACAATACCAACATAGTTTCTGTAAAGTCTTTATTTTTATGTGTTGTGAAGAGTTGGTTTTCTGGCATTCCAAAGAAAATAAATTTCACAATTAGTAAAATATTCTTGTCTGAATCAATGAAACAATATGAAGATTACAAACGTTTTCCCAGAAGGAAATTATGGAAATGAAAAAATGTCACAGACATACCAAAATCCTATGATTCAAATGTCTCCAACTTCATATTTCTGGGTATAAGAATCAGTAATTAATGAGAATAAATTTCAGTATTTAGAAATCCTAATACAATTTCAGACTTCCTTTACTTTTACTAGTGGCTTGTGCTCTCTCTATAGCAGGTTCTCTGAAGTCAGGATCACACATTGTAATAATTGCTATTTGAAATTCACTGCTCTGTTTTTTCACCCTTTTAACAACCTTATCCTTTTTATGTTTCATGGAATATATAAAAATACAATCAATTTCCTTAGCCTTCTAATTTCTTGGCTTATTTTTGACTATTAAGGTATTAACTAGGTAGATCTGACTTGGCAAATAATAAGTAAAGCAACTGCATTTAAGTACTTTATGGAATGTTACTAATTTATCAGAATGATTCTGAAGCAATTTTAACTGATAACAGTTTTTTTTAATGAAGGCATGGAAACTGTTTGTTCCCTATATACAAAACCAAGAGAAAGTGATACAGTTCTTTTGGCAATTGTCATTTGTCTTCGTGATATGACAACAATCTAAAAGACAGCTTTCAAGATAATACAACGAATACCATAACCTTGGGGTAAAAGAATTAAACTAGTGGTAGATTTTAAATTTTATTTTACCTTCTTAATTTTGGGGCTACAGAAATTTTCTTTAATTACATTCTTTTCTGAGGATAATTCCTCAAAACCCATTTGCTTTTTGAAACTTTAGGTTCTTTGAAATATTTGTTAATGGTGTGTGTGTATATATATATATATGTGTGTGTGTGTGTGTGTATATACATGTTAGTTTCTTGTTGCCTAGTTTTAAAATTTTAACAACTGATGATCTAAATTGAAGTTTTGATGATTTTGAGGGAAACTGGTAAAAAGCACATATAAAATTAATTTTCTTCTTCTGTAACTTCTAATTCATCATCATCCTCTTCATCATCATCTTGTTGATCTTTTCTTATCCGACTGGTGGGAATCTGCTAAAAATGAAGTTTAACATAAATCATTTGTTTTTTATCTGAATACTGACTAATCTTTTTTTCAGGATCCTTGAACTTTAAAAGGGTTGTAGCTCTTATAACTGGTCTACAATAAAGTCATGTTTTGTGATGAAAAGGACTATGATACTCAAACTACGAAGCATGAAAAAATAAGATGAAGTTACATGACAGAGGACTTTACAATGGGCTATGAGGCAAAAGCATTAGTGCTGCCTTGACCAGGAGAATACATGAAACAGTTTGTAAAGATAAATACCTTCTAAAAGGCTGGATTAATTTTCGTTCTAATGAAATACTCTTGTAATATCCAATATATTTAAAAATCACAGAATTAAAGTTTTTAAGCTGTTAAGCTTTTTTCTAATCCCATAATTCATTACTGAAAACCTGAAAACAACATTTTTGGTGCAGCTAGGTGGGTCAGTGGATAGAGCACCGGCCCTGAAGTCAGGAGGACCTGAGTTCAAATCCGGCCTCAGATCAAACACTTGACACTTACTACCTGTGTGACCATGGGCAAGTCACTTAACCCCAATTGCCTAAAAAGGGAAAAAAAACAAAAACAAGAAACACCATTTTTATATGCCAACAGAAGCAAACAAAACATTAGATATTTATGCATTATAAAAGTTTACTATTTTCAGAAAGTCTCTAAGTAGAATTGTACCTTTGAAAAGTTATAAATGTCAATCAAAAGTTGTGTAATTGGGATAAATCCTTTTTAAAGTGTATCAGCATACCACCATGATAACCTAATAAGCACAGAGATTAAAATAGGAGTGAATACTGACTTCAAAATCGCTATCAAAGACCATCTTATTTTGTGCTTGTTTAGGTTATATGTAATTAATACTAAATGCTCAAGCTTTTTGTGATATTTTTAGTATAATACAGCAAATACAAACCTTCCAATTCACAAAGAAAAAGACTATATCATGAAGACCATGTCATATCTTTCATCACTTATTTTACCAAAAATACAAATTAACAAATTAATTGTGATATTAACTTTATGTTCTTTTCCACTTAAAAACATTTATATTTTGGGATGGGACCTGTGATTTTATTGGTATGGTTAACTTACATGGAAACTCTATACTGATATAGTTCAACATATAAATTACCATTAACTTGACTGCCTTCTAAATTTAAAATGCCCTTCAGCATACCCTGTATATATCTTGTTTGCATATTGGCTCCTCTGATAGCTCCTTGAAAGCAAGTAACATACTTTGCTTTTCTTTGCAGCTCCACCAGTTGGCACATAGGCACTTAAAAAATGTTTGTTGACTTGACTTACCAGTTTAGGGGGCTGTCTGGAGTTCTCAGAGTATTAAGAGATTAATCATCCTGCCCATGAGGCAGGACTTTATCCCAGTTCTTCCTGTCTTTGAGGATGTCCCTCTATTTACTACGTCACACTGGCTCTCAAAGCAATTTTTAAGAAATATTTAATGTTTATTAATGTATAAGAGTTGTTTCTAGAATAGAGAGCTCAAAGTGGCCCCCATATGAGCAGTAACCATCTGTCTTCCAGCTTTCCTACCTGGAGACCCAAATTTTAACAAACATTTATATCTACCATGTGCGAGGCAGTGTGCTTTGCACTGGGGATGAAGACAAATGAGAATAATTACTTATCCATCATGAGCTTTTATTCTACCCTGTATCTCAACCGGGGAATGAAGGCACTGCAGAGGCACTCCAAAGTCTACTTCAGATTTTGGGGATGATTAACTCATGTCATACCAGTTTATTTCCCACTGTATTGAAACTTTCATCTCTTTTTAGAAGCCCTAATCTGCCCTAGACTCAATTTTCCTTGGCCCAGGAGTTGTTAACCTGTGTTTTTTTTTCCCCCCAATTTGGTAATTTTCAATATAATTGGTTTTCTTTGTAATCACACGCATTTTATTTTGCTTTAAAATTTTATATTACATACACACAAACATATGAAAACATTTTATTATGTATGTAGCTATTTTATATGTAAAATTAAATTTTATTTTAAAAACATTATTCTGAAAAGGGATCCATAAGCTTCACCAATCTGCCTAAGGTGTCCACGACACAACAAAGGTTAAGAACCACTGTTACAATCCATATCACTAGAAGATGTAATACCTCTTGCCACTTCTATTATCAAATGTCCTTATATCTTCAAACTTTTTAATAAACATTGTTTCTACTTCTTTAACTAAAACCTGGCTTTCTCAAATCTTTTGCAATACCCAAGTGGAACTCACTTAACCTAAGGCCAGAAGAATGGATGGGAATACTCTTTGCTCCTTAATGTAATTTCAGACCATAATTTTGGTTTTTAATTTGAAAAACTATTAAAAAATTGCCATACTGGCATTTCTCAATGAACCAAAGCCACAGAGCAGTAAAATTAAGTAAAACAAACCAACATATTGGCAACAACTTGATGTATTCTTGCACCTGCAAATCCATCATGCCGTTGAGTATAGAATTATGATTTTTATTGTAATTCCTTTGAAGTCAAAATTGATCTAATGTCTTTCAGTGTTGTTTTCCTTTGTGTTACTGTGTACGCTGAATAAACAATTGTCTTGGCTCTGGTTACTTAGCTTTGAATCTTTTCATAAAGTTCTTCACAAACTTATGAGTCTTTCCCAGCCATCATTTCTTAGGGTACATTAATATTCCATTACATTCATATATCAGTAGTCAGTGATATGATAAACCATTGATGAACTGATGAATACTCACTTTGTTTTTATTTTATTTTATTTTTTTGGCAACTACAAAAGTGCTGCTGTACTCTAAATTTTAAAAAATAATAGGGCCTTTTCATCTAAATCTAGTCCTCTTTAAACCTATCCTTTAATAACCTGACATCTTTTGATATTATGCAGTTTGTGTTTACTGTTCTCCCTACTGCTGTGACTGTCATCTACCAACTTCCAGGTGACAACCTTCTGGTTGAGTTTGGTGGATGACTCATGGTCATCATCATTCCTTGCCATATATATACCCTGGAGGCTTCACTATTGCTGTGAATGACTTATCTAAAAACTTGATCTCAATTTCAATGAATACCTTTTCCTCTCACCCACATCAAGGTTCAGGATCTCTTAAAACTGTATGGTCTCTTAACAGCTTTGCAATTACATTTTGTTCATGATCACTCAATCCCTCCAATCTTTCCTTCTTAATTTCTAAATCTTCCATCCCCACAAAACTCCAAACCACCAAGAAGTAAAAATAGCCTCAACTACTAGAAAGACTGCCATCTGATGCCTCCATATTTCTGACTCCAGTTTTCCTCAAACTTGCTATTTTCCATCTCTCATCACAGAAGAGGTGTCTTTACTCCTTAAGGCAAGTCACTTGATCCTATTCATTACTACCTCCTCCAGAATCTTCCTCTACCAGTGATGATCTCTCACTTGTCTTCATCATCTACTCCACTAGCCTCTTCCTATATGCTTATAAACTTGTTCATATCCTTCCCTCCTCCCCCAACCCTAAAACAACCTTTTAAAGTCTTTAGGTTTACATTTAGCCTACTGTCCTATTTCTCTCTTCCCTTCAATGCTAAACTTGTCAAAAACACTTCCTGTGCTCAGTGCTCCTACTTCCTTATTAGTCACTGTCTTAGAATAAGGCTTCTACTCCCATTATTCTACTGAAACTCCACTCAGATGTCACAAATCACCTTTTTGTTAACAAAACTGAATGACCTTTTCCCATTCCTCAATCCTTGACTTATGTTATTTTTTACTAAATTGATAATTTTTTCATATTGGATATTTAAATTGGATGTTCCATATCAGACTCAACATGTCCAAAACAGAACTCAAAATCTTTTCTCCAAAACCCTGCCTTTTACCAAATTTTTCTTATTTCTGTCAATGGGACCATGTTCTTCCATAGTCTCATAGGTTCATAACTTGGATATCATTCTCAACTCGTACTCCCTCACTGCACATGTCCAATCAACTGCCAAATCTTGCTATTTGTACCTTTAAAACATCTCTTTTATCCACCTCCAAACTACTCACACTGCCCCTACCTTAGTTCAGGCACTCATCATATCCTGCCTAGACCAACTGTAATGACATTCTAAGTAATATCTTCTGCCTTAAGCCTATCCCACTCTAGTCTGCTGCCGAAATGATTTTCCTTAGGTGTAGTCTGACCATTGCATTCTCCTATTCAGACTCTAGTGTTTCTCTCTTCTCTCTAGGAAAAACTGAAAACTGGCTTTTAAAGCCCTGACCCCAACCTATCTTTCTGGTCTTATTACACATTATCCTCCTTCCCACAAAGTTGGTCCAACCTGGCTTGTATTCCTCAAAGACAAAACTCAACTTTCCATCTCCTGGCACCTTTGCACTGTTCCCCATGTCTGGAATGTACTCTTCTCATCTTTGCCTCAACAGAATCCCTCACTTCCTTCAAAGCTCAACTCAAGCACTACTTTCTACAAAGCCTTTTCTGATCTTCTATTGTTATGTTGTTCTCCTCTTTCCTAACTACCTTACATTTATTTTGTATTCAATATAGACTTTTTTGTACATTTTTAGTTTTTTGTTTTTGTTTTTTTTTTTTGTCTGTGTCCCCAGCACATTTATTGGCATACAGCAGGTGCTGAGCTCAATAAATGCTTGCTGATTTGTTTTCTCTCTTGGTTTCAGAGATATCATGCTCTTGTTTTTCCCTTTCTAACAAATCTTTCTCTGACTTCTTTGCTGATTCATCCTCTTCCCAGTTCCTTAATGTGAGTGTTCTACAAGGGTCTGTCCTGGGACTTCTTTCCCTCTCTCTCAGTAGATCTGAATTTAATTTTACTTTTACATTTACTTCCTCTATTAGAGATCCTCATGAAGATGATTCCCAAATCTTATGAGCTCCAGACACACAAGATTGCATATCTAAGTTGATAAGGAGTTAAGATGTCATTTAGTGTAAACCCCTTTGATGCCCATTTTACAAATGAAAAAACAGGGACTGGGCGGTAAAGTGGCAAAAGTAATAAGTGGAAGAGTAAGATTTGAATGCAAATCCTCTGACTCCAAATCCAGCACTCTTTCCACTGTATTATCCTACATCTAGAACTGTCTCGAGGTACACTACTTGGATGTCCACCATCACCTCAAACTCATCATATGCCAAACTGAGATGTTCTTTCTTTCTGCACATGTTTCTCCTTTATTGTTTCCATTTACAGTACTACTATTCATCCAGTCTTCCATAGTCAAAACCTTGGCATTATCTTTTCCCATTCTATATCTCATCAGTTAGCAAGTCTTGTTGATTCCACCACCATAAGGTTTCACATTATTGACTTCTTTATTTCCACTATTTCTAACCTTATTATTATCCTTATTAACTTGTATTATTAGTATTATCCTTATTAACTTGACCCTATAACTATCATTTATACTCCTCCTAGACTATGCCTTGCCCTTTATTTCTGAAAACTCAGAAATGTTCAGTGGCTATTACCTCTCATGTAAAGTTCAAAGTCGTATTTTTTCAGTGAAGAAATGGAGGTTCTGAGAGGTTAAATGATTTGTCCAAGGTCATGCTGGCCATTTAACAGATATACTTTAAATGAATTATTTAAGAATCAAATCTGTATAAGTAATATTAATTTTTGAAGGTTGGTAAAGTCCTTGAAGTATTATCTCATTCTATTTTAATATCTAAAATTTTTACTGATTCTTTGGTTTTAACTTACCTGTCCTGTTCCAGATACACACTTGGCAGAAATAGATCTCTGAAGAGGAGATTTTGAGTTTGCTCGAACAATATCTAAACGTGTTGAATAGTCAGGTGGATAAAGAGAGCTCCGAAAAATCTATTGCAATGATAAAAAAATTATACATGGAGATGAAAAGTTCTCCTTAGTTAAGGAGATTCCTTAGTCTATTACTTTAGATAAAGGCATGAATGATGTATTTTTTAAAAAGCTATCAATGCATTAGATCAAGACTTCATTTTTGAAAGATTAAGATTGGAGGTTATGCTTGAAGATCAGAATTATAAATGGTATAAACATTTGTTAATTCAATTAATGTTCACTGAGCACCTACTATGTGCAAGAAATAAATTAGGCCTCATTAGGGGATACAAATTTGAGCAACATGGAGCTAAAAAGGGAAATAAGTATAAATAACATGGACTTATCCAAGAAATAATTAAATTTCATACTTCAAAGGCATCCCTTTAAGCCTGAAAGATTTAGGACACTAAAAAGGAATTGCTTTAAGAAGCAGGAAAATGACTGATAAACTCATGAATCTGAAAGCAAGCCAACTGAAAATAAAACAAAGGTTCCGGAAAGGTTTATTTATGGTAACTAGCTTCCCAACAGTCAATTAAGGGAGGTTTGTGATATCTGAAGGTACATTCTAAGCACTAAATGGTTGATGCCTTTTTAATAGTGTGACTTTTGCAGTTGTCAGTTTGGCTACTCTTTTGCTAATTTCACCAAATGACATTGTGGAAATACTGAAGGAACTTCATAACTTTTGACACAAAACTTATTCTACCTGAGTAAATGAAGAAATAATTGATGGAGAGCTATGATTCAAAATTACAAATACTTTAATCCACTAAAGTCTTACTGAAAATTAAGCTCCCTCATAATTAATTAAAGTATTTACAGGAATTTTAACTTAGAAGCTACAGAGACTAGCTTAAAACAAACACCGCCCCACCCCAAACCCAACTTTGTAATATAGTCATACACAAATAATCAGACATGCATCATTGCATAAGTTTGCTCTAGCCTCCTCTTGATTTTAATTTATTGTTCAGTTAGCTAGGATCCAACACAGTGGAGGGAAGGGAAACCTAAAGTCTGTCTTCTTGGATCCACTCATGGATAACTGGGTTATTTATAAAACATTTTAGTGCTATCCTCAAAAGTTGTCAGGTTTTCTAAAGTGATTATCTTTCCCTCCCCCAAAATGTACTTGCAATCCTGTAAATTTAATAAATCTAGATAGCTTTAAGTGGGGATGCTTCCTCTGCCAATGCATATCAGCAAACGTTCTGCAATTAGTCTTAATATAAGAGTTTACTGGGGGCACTGAGAGGTTATATAACCCAGGCTAAGTTTGCCAGTATATGTCAGAGGTAAGAGTTGGACCCTGGTGCTGTTTCTAAAATCTACCCTCTATCCATTATACCATGACTGTTAAGGTGCTCTTAGCAAAAAAATTTTAAGCAAAGGTATAATCTACCAAAAGATTTGGCTAAAAGATAAAAGAGAACTCAACATTAAAGCATTTTTATGAGAAACTCTTAAAAAAAACCAGTTTATTTTATTATCAAGGTTAATGGTTATATATTGAAACTATAGTTTATTTGAAACAGGCACAGTATGGATAAAAGAACACTCATATATCTCTGGAGAAACAAGATTTTTCCTTTGCCAAAATCATCTAGGTAAATTGTTAGTTCTGCTCTGTTTGTTGATAGTTTGGTTTCAGTGGAAATTTAGTTGCCATGTACTATTTAACTAAGCAGTATTTATAAATATTCAAAAGACACACCTCTAAAACAAGCCAAATTTTTGTAATCCTTCAAAAATGTAAGACAGCATGGTGCAGTGGAAAGGGTGCTGGATTTGGAGTCAGAGGACCTGTGTTCAAATCATAGTTTGGTCATCGGATTTTGGGCAACTCACTGTACCTCTTAGTGCTGTGGTTTTCTCATCTGTAAAATGAGGGGTTTGGGCTAGATGACCTCCAAGGTCCCCTCCAGCACAATCTATGATCAATAATTCCACTAATGTGTGTAATTCCTCGCATGGAAATTGTTCCTTCCTTACTTTACTAGATTGGCAAATTACTCCATTGCCTGGTAGCCATCTTTTTGTAATTAATCCCTCTGAATTTATCCAGGATGGTACTGAGATGAAGGATATTTCTATCACTGAACCTGTGAGAACTCACTTCCATGCCAAAATGAGGAATGGGAGTAGAGGATTTTCACTTTTACTTCCCCATACAACAATACTGCCTTATTTATAAGTTTCATTTAATAATTAATAATTGTAAAATCACTGCTAAAACTCAACCTAACCATCTACAATTTGAAAAGCAAAAATGACAAGACATTTATCCTGCTTTTTACCTTATAAACAAGACCTACACAGCTAGATTCATCAGTAGAGTTCAAGTCTCTTGGATTATATGGAAAATTGAATGTTAATTTAACAAAATTTTTAGAGCCTGTATTTGAGGCACTAGGCTAGGCGCTAAGCAAGATGCAGAGATGAACAAAACATCTGACATTGAGGAGGTTTCAGTCTGGTGGGAGAAGCCATCTAAAATTAAAAACTATAAAGAGTCTGTAGTTCACAAGAGGTCCACCATTTAAGAATACAAAGAAAGAAGGGATATGGGGTAGCAATGTTGTGATATGCAAATTACCATCACCTCTGCCATGTTTTTGTTCAAAACACTATAATCATCATGAAAATTTCAGTATACCTTAAGATTAATGAGTGAAATGGGCTTATGTATTAATAAATACTCTTACCTCTATATCTTCTTCTTCATCAATCTTCTGTATATTTTGGTAGGCAGCAGTGTAGACTTCTAAAGCTTTGCCATGGAATAGCATTTCAATTGTTATAAATTCTGAAAATATATTCTAAAAAGAGAAGTGGAATTTTATTCAATTATGTTAATCCACAATAATTAAAGCCAAATTTTTGTTTTTCAAACATTTTGTGAAATACTGAGATGGTTGCTGAGAACATGTTGGGGAACTGGGAGGATTTAAATGTTAACTTTTAAAAATGGGAACTGTCCGAATATTACCTCCACTTGCTATTCCTTTTATCTTTTGGTTTTGGTCGGCACTTCTACCTGTATCTAACAAAATGTTTTCAGCTGGCAATGAGAACACAAGACAAATAAGATGCACCACACTAATCTATGTGTGCTGTTCTATCCCATATATGTAGGGCAGGGATTGTTGTACTGGATTGTTGTATTCCTTGCATTTGTATCTGTAGCACTTAGGGCAGTGAGTGACACATAATGGTAGGCATTTAACAAATACTTGCTGATTGTGTAACCTTAGGCAAGTCATATAACCTCTTACCTCATCTAAAAGAATGGGATAATAATGTCTGTAGTACTTACCTCCCAAGGTAACTGTGAAGTTCAAATGCGACAATCTAAATTCCCAAGTTAAGCCCTTCACAATTTAACCTCAATATTAATTTTCCAAGCTTACTGACCATTACTCTTCTTCACACAATTCAAACTGGCCTACCTGCTAATCCTGGAACTCAGTATTCCATCTCTTGCCTCTCATTGCTATTGCACAGACTGTACCCCATGCCTGGTGGTGTAGTGAATAAAGCACTGGACTGCTATCAGGACATCCTGAGTTCAAATTCAGCCTCAAACATTTACTAGCTGAGCAAATCACTTAAAGTCTGTCTGTCTCAGTTTTCTCAGCTGTAAAATGGGGATAATAATAGTATTTACCTCCCAGGGTTGTTGTGAGGATCAAAAGAGGCAATATTTGTAAAGCACTTGGCATGGTGCCTGGCACACAATAGGTATTTAATAATGCCTGTTCCCTTTGCTTCCCCTCCCTGGAATGCACCCTTTTTTTTCTCTGCCTCTTAATACTCTTTAGCTTTTTCCTTTAAGGCACAGGTCATGCACTATCTTCTATAAGATGTCTTTCCTGATTTAGCGTTAGTGCCCTCTTCCTCTTCAGTTTATCCCACATACATTTAAATTTTTACATGCTATATTCCCCAGTAGAATGGGGATCCATTGAAGATATAATATATAATAGTATAATACAATATGTAACATAATCCTTAAGGATAGGATTTGTTTGTCTTTGTATCTCCAGAGTTTGGTATTGTGCTTAGTAAATGCTTGCTGGATTGGGTTAAGGAAGCTACAAAGCTTAGATGAGATACAGCTCCTCAAGGAGCTTACAGTCTGGTAGAAGGATCTGAAACATATACAGATAAATATGATGTAAAATAATGCATAAATTAAGTGTAAAAGAAAGTGTTAATATGAGAGCCTAGGGAGGCGAAAGACATTTACATGGGTGATCAAGAAGATGGAAGTTGAGTTGAGGTTTAAAGAATGTTTCTGACAGAAAATAAGTAGTCTTGTTGGCAGGATAGAGCACACAAATGGGAGCAGTATAAGCTGAAAAGTCAGGATGGCCAGATTATGAGGGGTCATGAATGACTATCAATTTGAACTTGGTAGGCAATAAAGTGCCATTTAAGATTTTTGAGCAAAGGAATGATGTGACCAGAACTGTGCATGAAGGCTGTGTGTTCAGTAAAATGGGGTCCACTGAGCTTGAAAAACGTTGCCTTTTCATTCTAGGAAATTTTCATTTTGCATCAATGCAGACTTAATTAATAGGATGATATTATAAATACAGTAGGAGAGACTATATGCCTAGGGAAGAACACACAATTATGATGACATAGTATCTTTCAGATGTATAATCTGGAAATCCTCAAGATTTCAAACTGATGGTTTACTGACCTATTGGAGGAGGAAGTTGTAAGGATTTTAAAAAAAGGAAACCATTTTACTACTCTGATGGGCTATAGCTCATAAGCAGTTCAGAGGTAGTACTCATAGCACTCTATTCTGGCGGCTGTGTAGTTCACATTTGATTTTTTTTCTTCTTTATCCCTGGCTGAGTTTCAATGTTTAGTAATTGTCTTAAGGTTCATTATCACCTTGTTCAGTTATAGAGAGCTAAAAAAAATTAAGAGGGAAAACCTTTGGTCTAGCCTATTTTAGTAGAGAATTTAAATGTTTACCTAGATAGGGATTCTCTAATCATTTATTGATGAAGAATTAATTTTGGTTTATTTGAAATCTTTTGATTTACAGTTTGTATTAAAATATTTAACATAAAGATTTCACTAATTAAAAACCCAACATTATGTATTCTCTCCCTGTTTGTTAAAGTTTGTTGTATAATTTATAAAAATGTTAGGCAGTCTTTTAGATAAATATTGCACATTGTTCTATTATGATTTAACTTTCTATGCTTGCAAATATAAGGTGTGTGGGGCAGCTAGGTGGCATAGTGGATAGAGCACTGGCCCTGGATTCAGGAAGACCTGAGTTCAAATGTGGCCTCAGACACTTGACACTTACTAGCTGTGTGACCCTGGGCAAGTCACTTCACCCCATTGCCTCACCCCTCCCAAAAAAGTAAGATGTAGTTAATACAGCTTTCCTGTCACTTATATTTACTTTGATCCTTTCACATATTAGAAAAAATGCTTATTCTAAATAGTTGCAAGAGCCAAAAAAATACTCTACTATGGAGTGCAATTTTATGTCATTATCAAGACAAATACGGTTTCTCAATAATATCACATATTGTAGTCATGAATACTGACTATAGTAATTTGAAATCCTGCTGTCTTATCAGCAAATATTGGATGGTCTGCAACAATGTAAGACAACTGCCCCTCTATAGTATTTTACCTCATGTGAACCAATTAACAACCTCAGGCAGTGCATGTTTGCACTGAATAGTCACATAAATGAGTACTTACAGCTATGAATTTCAGTTGTATGTCATTCTAAATACCTGCTTCATTTTACAGATATGTCTTGTCAAGATTAAATACTGGCCCCATTTTTTCTGCTATCTACCATTATCAACAGTGATGAATGCAATGGGTGTGAAACTGCTGACTGGCTCTAACATTCAATGCCTAAGTTCAAAATCTAGCTACAGCAGGCTCCCCTACCACACTAACCTAGATTTCTCCAGTATCACCTAGCAAGTCAAATGGCAGTCAGAAACAAAGCCCAGGGGTCCTACTGTTGAATCAAAGAATCCTACCTTTCCAGAATTCGTACACTTTGACCCTTTCCCTTCATGAACTATATAATTCATTGACACTGACTTCCTTGCTCTTCCTCATATATGACATTCTATGCCTGAATTCTCTTCCTGTTCATCTTTGCCTCCTAGACTCCCTAGGATCCTTCAAATCTCAGCTAAAAGCCTGCCAGCTAGTGGCTTTCCTTTGTGATTATCTTTAATCCCTAGTGCTTAACACCATGTCTGGAACATAGGCATTTAATATAAATGCTTGTTGACTTGACTTAGTTGGAGTTGGAAAGGGCTTTAGAGATCATCTAGTTCCAACTCTATTCATTCATTGCTTCAAACTTCCTTAAAACATCACTGCCAAATGTTTGGCCAGCCTCTACTTGAATATGTGTAGTGACAGGGACTCATTACATCAAAAGAAAGTCTATTCCATTTTTAAATAACTGGTGGTTTTAAAATCTGTCCTTCTAATAAGCTGAAATTTGCCTCCCTGTAACTTTTATCCCTTGATCTTAGATTTGCCCTCACAATAGAATGTTTATTCCATCTTCCATAAGACAACTCATATATTTGAAGACAGCTATTATGTATCTCTTTCTTCTCTCTCTTCCTGACCCATAATAAATTCTCTCCAGGCTAAATAGGTCCTTTAACCAATATTCAAATAACGTGATTTTGAGCCACTTCACTATCCTGACTGTCCTCTTCTGGACACACTCTAACTTGTTGTCACTATTCCTCACCAAGTATGGCCTCCAAAACCAAACACAACAATCTAGATATGGCCTAGCTAACAAACAGTATGATTCTCCTAGTTCTGAACACTATGCTTCTATTAACACTTCCAAAGATTGGAACATATTAGGTCAGAGTAGCTTACCTCACAAGTTGCCTCCTCCTCAAACTGTTTTCTGTGGCCCCAGTGAAAGGCTTATTTTCCCATGCTCACCACAAGGGCACAAACAGAACTCCTAAGGACCAGGGTGAAGATGTCAGATAGAGAGGAAATAACTAACATGTCAGAACACTTTTTGCCTTAGGAAACCGCTGGCTAGCCCCACCCAGCTGAGTCTTTGCCCTTCACACCTTTCCTCTACTGCCTCAAGCACCTGTTCCTACTAACATAGCTGTTCTCTCTTCTACCTAACTAAAGAAGTATCTATTACTCCCTCAAACACGGCAATGTTAACTTATCCCTCCTCACCCCAAATTTAGGTGACTCTAATACTCTGTCTCCAGTTTCCTAACCTTAACCCTAACCAGAATAATCTCAAGGCTTCAGGCAAGTGAAAATTTGAGAATCACTGCTACTATAAAACCTTGGCAATCTTCCACTTGTCTATATTATATTAAAGTTGATTTACACATTCTTGATGATATTGGGGGTAGGGAAACACTATTGTTTTTTCACTCAGCTGTAATTCAGATTTGATAAATTTAGCTTTCTGTAGCTTCCACAGAAGACTTAGTCCAGTGTGTAACTGTGGCACGGAAATAGTTTCATATTTGAAAAGACTATGTGCTGCAGAGCCTTGACAAACCCTCTGGCAGGTCATATGGTAAACTGGAGCATTCTTTAGGATCACTTCCATCTCTTAATCATGGTGCTACAGTCCTAAGTGCAGCCCACTGGGGACTATTTGTCTGTGATGCAAGGACCGGCCTAGTTAAATCCTGAGAGGCTCATTCCTAGAAGCATGACCATCAGGTAAAAAAGACTCATGTCTTTTCAATCATTGCAACTTGAGAAATATAGAGAAGATGGGAGCTGTCTTTGAAAGGATACCTGA